GTGTTTTCCTTCACGTATGAGAACAACGAACGTACGCCTTGATGGAGAACTTCACAGAAAGTCCAGGAATCCATCCGATGGTTTGGATCACTTAGATTAAGGCCGTAGTTCTCTGAGGCAGTTTGTTAACGTGTGTGAAGATGGGGGCGTGTCACGTTGATGTGGGGAGAGGAAATTGTTGGTTTGTTGCTAATCGCGTGTCCCTTCTCCGCAGTGATGTTCATCCATGCATCATTGAGACTTCGGAACTTCAAGAACAAGCTGGAGAATAAGATGGAGGGAATAGGATTGAAGAGGACACCCATGGGCATTGTCCTGGATGCGCTAGAACAGCAGGAAGAGAACATCACCAAAATCACGGATTATATCAGCAAAGTGAAGGAATAAGCGCCTCCCCTGCTGATAGGGAGGCAGCAGAAACGGAGTTGCAGTTTGCCCTTGTCCAGACCTACTTTTTTTGTGTGTTTTTAAAATAGGAGGTGCACGTACCACCCAGCTCTGTGGCAGCATGCGTGTGTAGGCCAAACTTGTCATCTCCGGTGTCACAGAGAGAAGGCCTCAGAAACCGGAAGAAAAGCACCCTCCTAGTGTGTCTGAAGTTTCAAGCCTGTTTATGGAAACTGATAGGAAACGCATCACACTTATTTCTGTAGGGGAATAAAAGAAAATAAAAGAATTATGGATTCTCCAACAACATTACTGTTACCTTGTAGGGGAAAAAATTGTGAAGTATCAAGGCAATATAAGTAAATGAAAAGGCCATTAAAGGAGAGGATGCCATGCATTAACCTGCTTGGAATCCTCTTCTGCATCTCTCTACCAAAATATTTCCTAGGATTGTAATGTGTGGGGTAGAAATTAGTTTAGTTTTTATTCTTCTTTTAAAATCGAAGATAATTTTTATCACTTTGCTGTCTGTTTGACATGCAGTGGAAACTGGATAAACCGGTTGTTTATACTTTGTTTACAAATATAAAGATAGTTGTTTAGAAGGATATTTTGTTAAATTTTTGTAAATCCTTGAAATCCTGGTAGTGCATTTTCACCAGCAGGTATTTGTTGCAAACTTAATATCTTCCTTAAGGAGGTTACAACTGTGTAACCTGTATTCTTCTTGATAGACTTATTAAAAAACAAACGAATAAAATGAGTGTTTATATTGCATTTTTTTTTTTTGGTTGTTGTTGAAATGGGGGAAAAAAAGTGTCCAAGATAGTGTTTTCCATAGTTTTTTCCTTTCTTAAATTTTTAATTGGAACATTTAGAAAGAAGAAAATGAATGTGCATTTTATTAATTCCCTAGGGGCTCAAAGAGAACAATAGTAGTTGATCTTTTGAAATCTAAAAAGCATCCTTAGGTGACTAAGCAAAAAGACTTAAAAATAGGAATGAGAACAGGAGTGATCACTGGCTTCTGCAGTTTATAAAAAATTTAAATAGCAATTGTTACAACCATATGCTTTCGTATTAGAATTAAGATAGCATGAGTTTATACGATCCATTATTTTTGCCCCTTAATTTCCCATGTATTTTGAAATAGGTTGTTGAAAATATTTTGCTTGCCAGTTGAGTGATTTCTTAGATGAAGTAGAAGACATGTAGGTTTCTCTAACTTTGAATTGTGAAGACAATCAGAGCAGTCCTTCCTGAGACACTCTGTATGTTCTAGAATAACCAGCAACGGCATATATTCCTCCTGATCTGTCTTGCATCTCAATATCTCAGACAACCTGCAGCCTTCATCGTTAGCACAGTGCTGTCACCATGACACCGCAGACATGGTCTAGAATCTGTACCCTTATGCAAATATGAAGAATAAAATTTATGAAAGATTTTTTTTGGTGAGACGTTATTTAATACACATCTAGGTGTATATGTGAAAAACTTGGTGACAAGCCTATAAACAGGAGGATGTTCTACAGCACAAACACGTATCTTGGGAACCAGCAGTTAGCATAATGGCTATGTCACTGGACTCCCATGTAGTCAACCGCGGTTCGCGTCCCGGACCCGATGGCTTAAAACTCACGCCGGGCACGTGTGCGTGCGTGCCCAAGATCCCGAGAGGAGATTGGAGGAGAGGGGATTGCGGCGTGACCATCCCCTCTGGGGGGTGATTTCTCGTTTTCTGTCTCTCTGTCTCTCTCTGTCTGTTTGGCGAGCACACGCACCCTATAGCGAATAAACCTCTCAAAAAAAAAACAAAAAAACACATATCTTATGTTTCAAATACCGTTGAATAAAATTTGAATTCTGAGCCAGCCTGTGGCCTGGTGGTTAGGGTGACTGGATCCCACACGGCCAACTACACACTGTTCAAGCCCTGGACCTGGTGACTTGAAAAACACACAGGACCCATGTACGTGCATGCTCAAACTCCTGGAAGAAGAAACGGAGAAGGGATTACAGCATGACTATGCCCCATGGCAGGGAAGGAAGAGGGGGTGTTTTCTCACTCTCCCTTTCCTTCTTTGTCTTTCTCAACTTCAATATTTTAATAATTTGCAGCCAAAACAAAAGTGAATGTTAGTGAGATCCTTTCTTAAATCTGGCATGGGTTTTATATACATTCAGCTCCTTCAATTTTCTGCATGGTGAATTCTGCCAACTAAACGCAATATACTTGGAGAAAGGATCAACTCAAATCAAAAAATACTCATGACAATACTAATGGCCAGTGATCAATTTTGGAAGGATAAGAACAGAAAATGTTAACATGTAAATGTCATAATATTACATTTAAAAACAAGTTAAAGTCTTCAACTAAGATTAGGGTGGGAGTGATAGACAGAAAAGTGTAATATGAACTGCTTCACCCTTGACAAAACTTGTTATTGAGTCAGTGAGCTTTGAAATGGGATCATCTTTTTGTGCATCGAAGATTAAAATCCTTTTTCAGGTTCTCTAACATGCTCCCCCCCATACACACACACTCTTCTAGAAAAACTATTATCACTTTTTAAAAATTCCTGACTTTATTCATATTTCTGACTGTAAGCCAAGGCATCCCAGACCTTCCACTGCTAGTATACATTAAGCTTTTAAATAAGTTTAAAGTGCTTTGTCCTGTCAGAGTTTAGCCTCTTAGATGTAAAACATGCTAATCACTTCAAAGGTTTTCTTTATTATAGTCTCTTCATAACCTGCTTTGCATGCAAAGACATTTTTTAGTACTACTAAAGGAGAAAATACAACTAATGTCTGGATTGTTCCAAAATCAGTTACTTGATTAAAAACTAAAACTATTTAAATTCAGATACTTTAGTACATGCTAACTTTTCTTTAGGAAATAAAAACACCTTGGGGCCAGCAGATGGCGTCATGGATGGGACACTGGACTCCCACATGGTTGACCATGGTTCAATTCCCGGACCTGGCAGCTTGATGTCTTACTTTTCTTCTTTCTTTCTCTCTCTGTCTGCCTCTCTGGTTAATGCATGTGCACTATAGCAAACAAAATAATAATAATAACTAATAAAATTAAATAATTTTTTAAAAAAAGAAAAAAGGAAAACATTGGGGGCCAGCAGGTGGCATAGTGGTTAAGGTGCTGGACTCTCACATGGCCAACCGTGATTCATGTCCCAGACCTGGAAGCTTGAAACTCACTTCATGTGCATGCATGCCCCAAATTCCGAGATGAGAATGGAGAAGGGATTGCAGCGTGGCCATCCTCCCAGGGAGTGAGGGGATGATTTCTCACCTTCTCTCTCTCTTTGACTCTCCAGTAAATGCACATGCCCTATAGCAAAAATCTAAAAACAAAAAATAGAAACATCATATACCTTTCCCATGGCGTGTCCTTCTGAACAATGTATTGTTCGTCCCCGTTAGACGCGTTCTGTCCTAGCCTGTTTGCTCATCACGTACCACCCCAGGTTATATGAAAGGAGACGGCAGCTGCCAACTGTTCACTCAGGTAAAGAGAGAAGAGGCACCAGCGCTCACTTTCTTTCCTCATTTCCAGAGTTCACAACACTTGTATTATCACAAACTCTCAAATTCTATGCACCTAGTGACTAGAACAGACAGTGGAAGGCTCCAGGGACTTGAAAGGAGGAAAGAGCAAGGGCTGGAGTTGTCAGGACGACATTTGTGGAGGAGATGGTACCTGACCAGGGCTCTGAAGATTGGGTAGGACCTTTGTAAATGGGAGGCAGGAGGGTGGTCTCTTAGGGAAGGTTACATGAAAGAGTTCAAGAGAGCAAAACAGAAGGGTGTGTAGGAGGATGTTTTATCGAAAGTAGTACAGGGGTCTGGGGGTGCTGCAGGGGTGGCCCCACTGGCCCCACATGGAAAAGGTCCTAGGTTCTCATCCTGGGACCTCTCTGAACATGCTCAGCACATGTGTGAGTGAGGCTGGCTGAGGCTGAAAAAGGATGGTGAAATGGGGACACTGTTAGGGTTAACGCCCTCCTTTTCTTTCTGATGGAAAAAAAAATTAACTTCTAAAAAGTTATACTTAGGGGCCCGTAGGTGATGTGGTGTTTAAGGCACTGGACTCTCTCATGGTCAACCATAGTCTGCGTCCCAGGCTGGTGGCTTGCTTTCTCACTCTCCTGCTCTTTCTGTCTCTCTCTGGTCAAACTGAAGACTAATAATGATAAATAAAATTAAATAAATAATTATTTAAAAAAATTTCTGGGAACCAGCAGTTAGCGTAATGGCTATGTCGCTGGACTCCCACGTAGTCGACCGCGGGTCGCGC